AAGTGTAATGAATGGAAGGACGCGGGCTTGTGGGAGATGAGGAGGAGGTATGATCAGTGCATGAGAATATGTCTCTGTGCATCTCTCCGAAGATGGCAGTGCCAGCTGACACCTGGCGAGCAAAATTTGAATTTTTACCCACACTCAAAATTTGTATCAGAGGAGCAACTTTTTTCCTTGAAATAAGGGTGTCAATTTGGGAAACTTGTATCATGAATGTTCATATCCTGAGGAATACATGTGCTGTATTATGTTACAACAGATTCCCTCATCATTTACTTCTTACAATGTACTATAAAATACACCTGTATTCTTATATACTGCCATAACCTGCTGCACTCTTACAGATTAAAGAAAATTTGGTCTTTTCAGACCATTATGAGGGAGAGGTAGGGAGGTCTTCTTTGAGATTTAGACAAATAAACCAACCACAGAAAAGCACAGTATGAGAGTCCTTGAAGCAGTTAGTTGGTCATATAGTCCATAGATTTTGAAGTTTGTTATTTAGATATAGTACAGTACTGAGGTTTGTACATGATGGATATAGCACATGTTCTAAAACCATCCAAAGAGCAGACAAAAGTTATTTAAGTATATAGTACAATCCAAAGTAGTTTTTGGATGGCAATTTTTTGTGGTAAAGCTGTACACATGGCAACTCTGGACTATACAAAACAAAGCTATGCAAATAATATACAATTCATAGTCGTTATTTCATCTTATAACTGCTGTTGCAAAGACACTGGATGAACAACTAGAGAAAGTACACATTGGGATGATGTGATTACAGGATCAACTTCCACAAGTTTTGTGTGCTTCGTGGTGAGAAATTGTTTATCTGTGTCAGAACAAAACTTACCCAAACAATAAAAACAGTTAAACATGTTGGACATTACCAATTACCTCCTCATTCCTGTACTGTACAAGAAAATAAAAAATGTCATTCATGTTTCTGTATTCTGAAATAAATAAATAAAATAAATAAAAAACATAGTTTAAATATTGTATATAACACTCAGAACTTTATGCAAGCAAAGCTTATTCATAACAGGTATGGATACTATCAACGTAAACTATATATATTTTAAGTTGCTATTGATGTCAGTGTGCATATTAACAATACTGAAAAGTATTACAGTACCCTAGCTGCAATTTTTTATAACATATGGATGTATGAACATGGGAGAGTGTAAAGGATATCCAACTGTTAACTGTAGTTTTAGCCACAGATTAAAATAATTTTGATATTCAGAATCTCAATTTCAAACCATGTGTTTACATCAGCTATGGTGTGCCAATTATCTGATCTACCAATTATAATCATGAGCATTGTTCTCTGGCTGTGGTGTGTGGTCCAGTGTAACAGGGAGGCTTGGGGTGGCTGCAGGTCTTGACTGTGTCGAGGAGACTTCAGAGCCTTAGAGAGATCCTTTAACTCAGTTCTTCCACTTAGAAGATCATTGTAGGCCTGTAATTACATACACCAATAAGAACTATTGTATTTAGGATAATCAATAATGTCTATTAAATTTCAACGCAAATACATTAAAGATGTCCACAAATAATGAGTGTTCTATAGGTAATGATATATTCATTTAACCCTCAATGATTCAATATTGTCATGGTTCTGGGTTACAGTAATCAAATTAACCCAAAATATAAATTTATCCCAACATATCAAAATTACCTCACAATTCAGGATTTTTGGCACAACTCGCCTCACAATTTGAAAACATTTGAGAGTTTTACAGGAAGTTAGTTTTGATGTATGATACAGTACAGTGGTCCCTCGGTTAATGAACGGTTCGATTAACAAAATTTCGGCTAACAAATTAGCTTCCATAAGGATCTTCAATTCAGTTAACGAACAAAATTTTGATGAACGAAATCCACACAAACACGTTTTGTTGTGAGCATCAGCTGATGGGCTAGTCTGCCAATACAGTAATCGGTTCAATGTTTACATTTGTTTCCAGTGGAATAAATATCAAGAAGGTTGTGCTCTTTAATATTTTTGCATTTTTTTATATTAAAATTATTATTCAATTTAAAATTTAGTTAACATATTGATAATACAGTGATCCCTCAGTTAACGAACACCTCGGTTAACGAAATTTCGGTTAACGAACTGCCTTCCATAAGAATCTTCAATTCGGTTAACGAACAAAAATTCGGTTAACGAATTTCTTACGAACCGACCTCAACATGTTTTCGCTTGCACTGGCCGGGCAACCAGCTTTAGTATCAGTCCGCCAATACATTAATCGGTTCTAGGGCTTAAATTCTTACCATTTTAGTAAATATCAAGAAGTTTATACTATTCAATAATTTTAAAAGTTTAATATTCAATTTTTAAGTCATTTTAACAATTATTGAACATAATCAGGTAAAGTGACTAGTTTAATGCGCTGCATCCAGCCTCTTAACACAGCAAACAGGCATTAGTCTCTATGTTTTCACTGGAGGTAACATCTTGCTTGAGACTCTCTTCAACTAAACGCCTGTTTCCCAAATTATTGGTCATTTTGAAATATATTTTACATATTGACAATATATAATGCAGTGCAGTGTTGATTTAAAGAAAATAATCTTGAAATACACCAAGAGAACTAAAATTTGGGTGAATGGTGCCATGGGGTGACTTCCTTCCACCCCAATGCCTTCTTCCCTTTCTCTCCACCCCCATTCTAATTCCCATCATCATCATCACATCATCCAGGAGCCTTACACAACAACCTCAAACTAAGTGAACTTTTCTACCATTTTTGTTGAATTTAGGCAATTTCGGTGAGCTGGAACCAATTACCCAAAAACCCATTGAAATGTTGAGCTCGTTAACGAACTGCTGGAACGGATTGAGTTCGTTAACGAGGACCACTGTATATGCAGTACAGGGAACAAGTTTTTTTGTGCGCTCATGCCGCTTGACTCACTCGCCAAAGCGTCAATTTAACTTTGTTTACAGTGAAGGAAACATCGTGTTTGTCGCTCTCTTGAATACAGAGTATGTTTAATTTTTACATTAAAATTATTGGTCATTCTGATATTTAGTTAACATATTGATAACATATAGCGCAGTGCAGTGTTGATTTAAATAAAATAATCTTTAATTACAGCTAGTGAACTTTAAATTTTATTGGTGAAATTACCTGTACTGTACTGCATCAAGCATGGGTCCAAAGAAAGGTGATTTCTCCTCCATCCCCACTTCCTTCTCTTCTCCCTTCTCCTCCTCCACCCCCACTTCTACTTCCCATCATCATCATCAACCAGCAACATTCTATATACACACCTCAAAGTAAGTGTACTTTACTACATTTTGTTTATACTTTGTATGTACTTTTCTGTGAGCTGGAACCAATTACCCAATATCCCATTGAAATAATGGATTCGGTTAACGAACGTCTCTGTGGGACGAATTGTTTTCATTAACCGAGGGACCACTGTACTGGGAAGCCTAGTGTGATAATAACAAAACAATGTCTTAAGCAGAAGTTTCCATGTGCTATGTATAAGTACAAACCCCAGTGTTTTTAAATCTTGTTTTGTGCATTAGTGATTTTTTTCTTCACTTTTGACCGATTAAAGAACTGGAAAATGTGCAGTGTTTGAAAATTTGTGAACTACTGTATTGGTACTAATTTGACATTTTCCCACATCACAAAAACTTCTCGTGAATTCTGTCTGGTCAAAAAATACTGAATTACCCTATCCCAAAATATCAAATTGTAAATACATTATTGAATTAGTGAGGGTGCAGTGTATATACTACTGTACTGTACAGTATTTATATGCATCATATTATGTGTAGTATTATAAATGTACTGTACTGTATTATAGTGTGTATATACTGTATTAGATTAATAATAAAATAATAACTTAATGCATGATCACATGCACCCCCCCATATCTGGTACAGTGTATCCAAAATATGGGGGGGGGTTACATTTTTACTTGGGTACAAAGAAATGTTTATTCCCTTTATGTGTTTGCCCTTAGGACAATTATTTATTTTTTACCTGTACTGTATATATGTGTGTGTGTGTGTGTAGACACAAACACACAAAAAAACAGCCCAGTCCCAACCATTATAAAAATTATCATCAACTTGTAATCAACCAGTGTATTCACTCTCAGTCAATCTTACCTTTTTGCACTGTCACTATGTTGAAATGCCCTGTAGTATAACCTTCTCCCCACTTAGTTATTATATATCATATTTGTATCACTTATGTTATTTGTCAATCAAGTAACCCATTCCCCAATTATATAACTGTATATTTTAAGACTTCTGACTGCCATGCTCTTTCAATAAACCATTACTTATTATTATTATTATTATTACAATGCATACAAATAAATGATAATGGGGAAATTCTCTCAAAAATACCGTAATAAGAAACACGACAACAAATGTACTGTAGAAAATATATGGTCTACCCCTCGTCAACTCTGTGCTTTGTTATTAATTTAGTTGGTTGAGTTGCCATAAGGCGCCAGAGCCAGCTGGGTTGATACGTAGATCAAACTTACAAAATTTCTTTCATAGCCATCTTGCCAACCCAACATGAAGGATGTTGGTGATTGTGGTGTAATATTGTATACTTTTTTACAATATGTATGTAGGATGGTATGTGCATGTAAATGAGTAAAAATAAACGAAGAAGGTTATTGATATTGTAGTGGATACTTTCCCCTACAACTGACAAGCCTAGCTAAGCATACAGTAGCGGGGTTCAGCCAACCAGTGGGTTTCTCTGATGCCCTCGCCGTCTAGACAAGGGGGGAGGGGGTCACCACCTGCGACGCTTACTAACGGTTCTACGTCCGCTGGACGTGTATATAGGCTCCTTGCCTCGCCGTTGAGATTCATTCTAGCTACAGCCCTACAACATGCAACACCTCCTCTTAAGAAGCTCCTGCACAGCAACTCCTCTACCACGCAGCAACTTCCCAGCACCAAACTGTTTTGTATATAATATATTTATATAAGAAAACAGCCATAGCTGAGTTTCCCTTCTCCAACCCATCCTGAGTGCGAGACTAAATCACGAAACCCCACAATATCTACCCAAAAATACAAGTTGAAAATACCATAACAGCTCAAAGCCTGACCCAGTAGCCCGGTGTTTACAATGATGAGCTAACATAGCTTCAATGACATGATTAATCATTGTTAACTACTATTCTATCAGTAAACACTATTAATAACAGTAAATCCAGTGAAATTTGGCAAGGAGCGAGGAGAGTTAAAACTGCAGACGATGACTAACTAGCAGTCACTCACTCCCCTTGCCAGGCATACAGTACGTATGGGAGATGCCAGGCATACAGTACATTTGGGAGATGCCAGGTGTACGGCACGATGGGAGATGCCAGGCATACAGTACGTATGGGAGATGCCAGGCATAGTCAGGCGTCAGTATGGGAAAAATACAATACATGACCTTTTCTCTCATCACTTGTTTGGGTGCCTTCCCACGGCTGGATGCAGGTGGTTGAGGGCGTTTGGGAGCCATAACAAACACGAGAAGCACAGTTGTTAAGAGAGTGGAGAAGCACACACGCAAAACGGACAAATGTTTATCCCAGACTGAGGCGGGCCAAGTGAGCCAGCCTCCCGGGACAAGAGACACACCTTGCGGGACGCCACGAAACTGGCACCCTTCCTGTACTGGCCGCGAAAATGCCGGTAACTTTAAAACTACCCGCAGACATTCTTGGGTACATCCAGGGTGTCATGTAATAACAGAGGACCGCAAAATAAAAATTCATGAATTACCCGGGCGTACTGTACAGTATATATAAATTGAGCCAGAATCTATAGAAAAATGTTGGTCGAGACCTCGCCCTCGTGTGCTTCACTGATCAGTGTAATGTATTTTCTTTTGGTGCTAATTTAGAGCTTAGTGGATAACATCAACTTTCTTGACTGTAATAGATACAAAATTTAACCATCAGGGAAGGGATTGAATGGTGATATACAGAAAAATAATTGTGGGCTAATGTAATATGGATGGCAAAAATAGGTAGGTGGTAGAAAGAGCTCACCTCCAAGGCACCTGCTTAATTTTGTTTGTGTTTCTGCTTTAGGATATAAGCCTGAATAAAAAAAAAAATACAATTGGCACTCCTGTCAAGTGTATCAAAAAGACCTAAGCTCTCTGGTACACAGGGGAGAGGAGAAGAAAAGAGGGAGAAAAAGCGAGCCAAAGACAGAGGTATGCACGAGATGTGTGTATTAATAATCATTTACTGTTAGTTGGGCAGCTATATTCATGGAAAATTATCTGTGATTGTTTGTTATTACATTACAGGCTATGTGCCCTGGCATAGGCTAATATTACTGGGTTTTATTTTATTGCCGAGTTTGTCATTTTACAGGTAATGGATCTTGGATTCTTGGTATAGGCAGTGACTTATTATTACTGGGCTGAACTGTCATTTTTATTATAATGTCATGGCATAGGCTATTATTGCTTGGTTTAACTGTCAATTGTCAACTGCTTTGTTATAATGGTCGCACAGCCTTAGTGTTTGTTGTTTCAGATGCACTTCTGAAATATTTTGGACCTCCTCCCCCTGGGAGGTTGTGTGCAGCACACTTGCTGAGGAGGAGGCCATTGGGATTACACTTGCCTTGTAGTCCATTTCTCCATATGGTTCCCTGCCAAATGTTAGCATCTCTGCCAACTCTGGCATTGAAATCACCAAGGAGCACAAACATAATGGTCAATGACAACTTGGTCTACTTAAGCTCTCTGCGATACTTTTAACAATAATACCGAGCCAATGTCTCTGTAGTTCTTTGAGATTGTTCCCTTGAAAATTTTCTCTTAATTGACAAAAACAGTAATGATTGGGTACCAATGGCTTTCAATCCCACAAATAAAAAAATCCAGTTTGTGTGTTATGGCTCATCACTCCTAATATACTGCACTACCTATAATACTACAGCACTGCTAATAAACTGATCTCTAAAGTCTCTATCTCTAACACTATAAGCTTACCTGGAATCTGTGTTTGATAGACTCATAATCAGGGCTGAGGTCTGGTGATGTGACAGGTGAGTCTTTATTTGGGAAAGGACTGGATGCTGCAAAGTAGTTTCTGAATGGGTTAGTCTCTGAGAATACTGGTGGAACAGGCTGAGTGGAGTAGTTATATCCGCCACCTCTACCACCACCATCCCCACCAGCACCTCCACTCTGGGTGAAGGGATTTGTAGCACCTCCTCCTCCACCTGAGTCAAACAATTAAAAAAGGTATTTGGAGTTCTGTTCTGCAAATATTTTTATTTTTTATATCATAATCATTATCTCATGTTATTCAAAACATTTGAAATTAAAGTATGTTATTCTTAAACAATTTATGACAAGATATAGGAAATGTTATAAAATGAACTTTAGTGCAAGGTCAAGGGTTAATGTAAATTTGGCCCCCCAAAAATTTACATTTTAAGCATGCCTACAAGTATTAAACATGTGTACTGTATGAGATTATGTCAATACAGTCAACACATTCAAATATCAAACCTACAGCAGTAACACACACATATCTTACCAATATGTCAAGGGTTCGAAGAAGGGTGTTATACAGTGTGACTCTACCAAACATGACAGGTTTTCCAGTCTGAGTTCCTCCTGTACTTACACTGGATAGACCAACTGCTGGAACGGCTAGTAAGCTGACAAGTGATTAAAGTCATAAAAAAATCTTAGAAGGTTAAGATTTGATCTTGAAAGAAAGCCAAAAATGGTAGTAATTCACATAAGGAGAGAAAGATACATAAAAATACTGATAATGTACTGTATATAGGGTGTTAAATGACCCACCTACCACATGTCTTTGTATGTAATAAGTCATTTTCACACAGATATGGGAATCAAGACAACAAACATCCAGTGAGGGTTTTGTTGTGTGACTGCATGGAGGTGAATTAAAAGATCAGCTGTTGAGGAGCTTATCGCTTGGCAACACTGGTGCATGTTACCACTCCATCTCTCTAATCACCCACACCTTTCTGCTTTCTAACTCCATATTTTAAAATGTTATGTAATGTTGAAGGGATACAACTTTGCTCATTTATACTTTTACTTATCACAATTTCCCTAAAAACTCTTTAGGTTTCGTGTTTATTGAAGACATCTTCAGGTCACACTAATCCCACCCAGAAAGGGGTGACCTGACATTCCATCACGTCAGTAATGTGAGACCACTAATCCCCACCCTACCTCCTGACATTGAGTCAGGTCAGGTACCCACCCCAAAAAAACCCTAACTTTTATCTTTATTCAAGACATTTTCAGGAAATTCTCTTGATTTTCAACCTCAACATTTTTTTTCCTAAAGCGTTATTTTTTAAATTCCAACTTTGGGAATGATTTTCCGAGCAAATTTAAATTATGGCTATCGAAGATTTCCGGGTTTGAGGGATTCCAGCTAATGGAGATAATAATGGTGACACACACACACACACACACACACACACACACACACACACACACACACACACACACACACACACACACACACACACACACACACACACACACACACACACATGGCTGAATGGATACTCAACCCTAACTGGAATCAGATGGAACACATAATTAAGAGGGTTAGAGGGTTTCTGAGTGATGAGAATGGCATTTCTTTTGGTATACAGATGTGGTAGTGTTGGCTCAACTGTCCCTGCTATTTGGCTTGTTCAGTTGAGGATCTTTGAGAGAGGCAGCCTGAGTTTGAGGGTTGTAGACTACTTTTGAAAAGAGTGGGAAAAGCACGAGCATGTTAGAATAAGGGTCAACTGTGCAGCACAAATTCAGTTTGGGACTTATACTACTATTACATTGTTGACGGCTTAATGGACTTGAATGTTTCATGAATGTAACCCCACTCATGTCAGTAACATGACATCATGCACCTCTGACTTTATAGATGAGCAAGAAGGGAGAATGGATGAAGACAACACGTCAAAGGAGCACCCAGCACAGCATCAGCCAGTAGGGAGAAGGATGACTTAGGAGACCCAGAAACAGGCCCAAAACAAGTTAAGCTATCTCAGTATCCCAAAATCCGTTTTGGGTTGAGAAAGAGGGTCTTTCAATACAAGTGGTTTGAAACCTTTGATTAGCTAGAATACTCTGAAAAGAAATGCTGCATTCTGTTTTTCGTGTCGACTCTATGCAAGACAACATACAGGTACAGTAAAGCCTCCGATAACAACGGTTCGACCAACAACTTTTCATATTTAAGACCCTAGTTAATTTAGGATCCAATTTAATTTACGTCCTTATTTCATTTGCATTTACGACCAAAATATAATAAAATAAAATTCAATTAAATTTTCATATAAATAATAACTGAATCCTGATATGTATTATAAAAAATAAATAAAAAATGACTATAAAAAACATGAAGAGTGCCTTGCACAAAGAAGCTGCCTGGCTAATGAGTGGTAATGCGCATAGCCAGTAAACAACAGTCGGAGATTGACAGGTCCTTTGTTTTCACACATCTGAACAGGAACAGGAGAAAAACTTTCTCTTTTCTTACAGCATTTTTGCATCCCTATTCAACATGAGCAAGAGAGCAAGTGATGGTAGTGCTGGTTCAAAATTTAATAAAAAGTGTATAAGCTTAACCGAGAAACTAGATGTGTTAAAACAAAATGAAAAAGGTGAGAGGTCTGTGGATATTATATGGAGCAAGCAATGAACATATTTTCTGAAGTGGATCCATTAACAGAACAAAAGATTAAAATTTACATATATGCAAATGACCTCTACATAAAGATGTATAATGAGAAAAGAAAGCAGCTGTGCAAGGTTCTTTAGACAGCTTTATTATTCGAAGGCCTAACCATCAACTTCAGCATCATAAGCAGCTTCTACATCAACTTCAGGTTCAGTAACAGTTTCAGCAACAGCTTTATGGAAAGCTACAGCTTCAGCCAGAGTTGAACCTGAAGACTTCGTCATCTGAGTAAAAACTCACACAATACAGTATTCATTGGCTGTCCTTATGTTTTGGACTTTACCACCATTGGTGAGTAAATATTATTTAAAACATATATGTAGTACAGTAAATAAGTGCTGCTTTCATATTCAAATGTAGAGAAATGACGACATTTTTTCACATGAACGCACTTACTGTTCATACATTGGCGTTCCCAATCGTATCGCTTTATTTCTTTACCATTAGTGTTTACCTACTTCTAGTGTTCCATTATTAACATTAAATAACATTACTTAAAGCATACATACAGGTATTAATATATTTTTTTTAAATTAAGTTCGCTACAGTTACAACCAGGGTCATAGTGTCTTCAGTTTCTTATGTAGAACCATCATCACTCACGAAAACAATGCCGACTTGTCTCCTCGTGTGTGTTTTAATATTCTACGTAATATTAATTAATTGCTTTGTTCATTCCACATATATAAAAATTAATTCAATCAAATACATATTCAGTAATAAACAATAATGAATCTTTTGTACATATTCTTAATAAGATAAATGACTGTGTTTCCTTGAGTGCGCACGTATACATTGGCGTTCCACCATCAGTGGTTACAGGTTGTACCTCTCTAGTCCGGTAACCTCGGGACCTAACCGGTGCCGGACCATGGAAATTCACCCTTTTCCTGGATAGATAGTGACTTGTGCTTATGCTTGGAAGCACTAGCACCACTTTGTCTGCATCATGGTCTCTTTGAAGACATATTGAAGGGTTAAATGTCGTATAATAGCTTCTCAAATTTCGCGAGTTTTTAATTCTTAACGTATTTTATTGGAACACACAAAAAAATAAATAAATAAAAATTTTGACGGCGGAAACTTGAATTTCGAAGGGTTTGAACGGCCCGCCAACGTGCAGACGACATGCATAATAGTGTAAACAGCGTCATTTCTCTTATGTACAAAAGATTCATTATTGTTATTAACCGAATGTCTTTTTTATTGAATTAATGTTTATGTGTGCAAAATGAGCAATACAATTCATTAATAATATGTAGAATATTAAAACACACGAGGAAATGACACAGCATTGTTTTCGTTGATTACAAAACCAGTGACTGACTGGTTCTACATATAAAACTGAAGAAAATAAGACCTTGGTTGTAGCTGTAGTAAAATTGATATGGTTGTTTTAAGTAATGTTACTTAATGTTAATAAATGGAACAATAGAAGTAGCTAACGATAATGGTAAAGAAAAAAGAGAGATCGCATATGTAAGTGCGCGCACGTGAAAACATATCGTCATTACTTTACATAAGAATATGAAAGCAACACTTATTTACTGTTCATATATATTTTAATTAATGTTTCTGAATTTGTTTTTATTGAATTAATGTTTGTGTGTGCAAAATTAACAATACAATTTATTAATAATACGTGGAATATTAGAGGAGACGAGACGGCTGCCGGCATTGTTTATGTTAAAGCTTACAAAACCAGTGACTGATTGGTTCTACATATAAAACTGAAGAAAATAAGACCCTGATTTTAGCTGTAGTAAAATTAATGTAAAAAAAATAATATGGTTGTTTGAAGTACCTGTAATGTTATTTAATGTTAATAAATGGAACAATATAAGTAGCTAACCATTAATGGTAAAAAAAAAGTGAGACTGCGCGTATGTAAGTGCGCACATGTGAAAACATATCGTCATTACTCTACATAAGAATATGAAAGCAACACTTATTTACTGCTCATATATATTGAAGGGTTAAATGTTGTACTCTGTATAGACAAGCAGAGAGAGAGAGCAGCCGAACTGCCGGATGTAAACAAACCTTAATTACCCGCGGGTTTTTTTTGTAAGGGGATTAGCCCACCCGGGCATAGGTCACTGACCCACATTGGGGCCTGTGGGGCAAAAATTTAATACTCCTGTAATAATAATAATATTTCAGATAAGTTAAAAAAAAAAAAACTGCCTATCTACCTATTGGACAAACTAAAATCGTTCCGGACCACGGGAGTTTCCGGACCACAGAATGCCGGACTAGAGAGGTACAACCTGTACTTCTACTGTACATTAAATAACATTAATTAAAACACATATTTTTTACATTAATTTTACTACAGCAACAACCAGGGTCTTATTTTCTTCCGTTTCAGGTGGATAACTGACATTATGGGTGTAAACACTGACAACAATGCCGTCTCTTATCCTCTTGTGTGTTTTAATATTCTACGTAATATTAATGAATTATATTGTTCATTTTGCATATACAGGTGCTCCTCTACTTACGAACGAATTACGTTCCTGAGGCTTGTTTGTAAGTCCAATTTTACTCTTGTAGATACCAAACATATTGTAAAAAAAATGAACAGATTATGGATATTTAGTACAGCTATGCCCTTTAATGCAGTCTTAAAACTTGGCTCACTCTTCTCCTCTTTCGTAATGTTATTTCTATCTGGAATTTTCTTCAAAATAAACCAGTCTCATCCACATTAAACACCTGTTCTTGCAGGTAACCCCCTCAGTGATGATGTTTGTATCTCTGAAAGATTGTAAGTTGAACGTTCTTAAGTAGAGGAGCAACCTGTATAAAGATTAATTCAATCAAATGCATATTTAGTAATAAACAATAATGAATCTTTTGTACATATTCTTAAAAAGATAAATGACGCGGTATCCTTAAATGAGCACGTATATGTTGGCATTCCCAATCCAGAGTGTTAATGTACATGACTTTCAAAGTCCATAAATAGTCCTCAAAACACTGAGCAATACGTTTGGAACATATTGACTAAATTGTTACCGAGGTATATATTTTGCATTAACTGGAAGTGTTGTCCCTCTCACAGAGAACTAACAACTACTGTGCTGTACTACACTTCCTATAGCTTCCACCATGGGCACAGGGCAACATCAACTCAAAATAATATTTGTACTGAATATTGCATAAAGTGGTTAGGGTGTTGTGATATTGGCCAGACAATGACAGGCAGTGAAAAATAAACAACATGGCAAAACTGTAAGAAAGACTTTGAGAAAGGTATTTTTGGTGCCTCCATTGTGGTCTATTTATTTGACTAATTTAATTTTTAATATCTTTCTGAAAATAAAACTCTGAAATATCTGGAACATTATCACACTTAAATCTGTTTTGGTTACCTGGTATGTCAAGCATTCCATTTGTTGCATTATAAGTGCCATATCCTGCATCACCTGCACCTTCATTCAGTTTTTGTGAACTTAATGCCCTTGGCATAGGATTAGCCGGAACTCCATGTGGTGCAAGAGCTGTCCCTTCTTCAGCCATCTCACGAGGGTCCTCCTCAGGTGGTAGATCAGGTTGGAACCCAACATCTCTTCGGTAGAAGTTGATGAATATGAATGCAGCAAGAATGATGAGAGACACCACACCATATGCTCGGAACACAACAGAAGTCCCTGTACAAAAAATATATAAGAAAAGCAACAGAAGCATCAGTAAAGTGTTCAAAATATCCAATCTATGTAGTGGATGATAACATTATCATGTGTTGAAAGTAGATGATGAATCACTGTAAATAACAATTTTACATTTAACATAATATCAGGAAGTTTGAACAAAAGCAAAATGAACTTCCCAGTTTCAAATCACATCACAGAGATAGTGTATAGCAATGACTCACCGAAAAAATTTACAAATATTCCACCAACAATGGCTCCACAGCCTCTGCCAAAGCCATGATGGATACCCTGGAGAACTCCCTGTGAGGAGCAGCGGAGGTGTGGAGGGGTGTTGTGGGCAATATAAGAACAGCACGCAGCCCACACAGCAGCATGGGTTATTCCTGCAACACAATATAAATTCTGACTCAACCTCAATCATACTGTTTGTGGGGTATTATGGTACTGTACTGAAATGAGGAAATAATACAAAGATAATTTTTTTTTCTTTAATCCTGAGCCACTTGTGTGGAAGGTGGACTGAGAAGCACAAAACATGAAAGAACGAAACCAGTATGGGGGGAGTTGTGCAAGACAGGAAAGAGCAAAATTATTCTGCCTACACAACCTAACATTCTCATCTAACATGCACAGAAGGAAGTGAATCCTTTGTCTCAACACAGATTCACAATACAGTGGTCCCTCGGTTAACAAACACAATTCGTTCCACAGAGTCGTTCGTTAACCGAACCTATTACAGGTTGTACTTCTCTAGTCCGGCATTCTGTGGTCCGGAACAATTTTAGTTTGTCCAATAGGTAGATAGGCAGCCTTTTTTTTTTTTTACTTATCTGAATTATTATTATTACAGGAGTATTAAATTTTTGCCCCACAGGCCCCAATGTGGGTCAGTGACCTATGCCCAGGTGGGCTAATCCCCTTAAAAAAAAAAAAACAAAGCCGCGGGAAATTAAGCTTTGTTTACATCCGGCAGTTCGGCTGCTCTCTCTCTGCTTGTCTATACAGAGTACAACATTTAACCCTTCAATATATATGAGCAGTAAATAAGTGTTACTTTCATATTCTTATGTAGAGTAATGACGATATGTTTTCACATGTGCGCACTTACATACGCGCAGTCTCACTTTTTTTTTTACCATTAATGGTTCGCTACTTATATTGTTCCATTTATTAACATTAAATAACATTACAGGTACTTCAAACAACCATATTCATTTTTTTACATTAATTTTACTAAAGCTAAAATCGGGGTCTTATTTTCTTCAGTTTTATATGTAGAACCAATCAGTCACTGGTTTTGTAAGCTTTAACATAAGCAATGCCGGCAGCCGTCTCGTCTCCTCTAATATTCCACGTATTATTAATAAATTGTATTGTTAATTTTGCACACACAAACATTAATTCAGTAAAAACAAATTCAGAAACATTAATTAAAATATATATGAACAGTAAATAAGTGTTGCTTTCATATTCTTATGTAAAGTAATGACGATATGTTTTCACGTGTGCGCACTTACATATGCGATCTCTCTTTTTCTTTACCATTATCGTTAGCTACTTCTATTGTTCCATTTATTAACATTAAATAACATTACTTAAAACAACCATATTAGTTTTACTACAGCTACAACCAAGGTCTTATTTTCTTCAGTTTTATATGTAGAACCAGTCAGTCACTGGTTTTGTAATCAACGAAAACAATGCTGTGTCATTTCCTCGTGTTTTAATATTCTACGAATTATTAATGAATTGTATTGCTTTTTGCAAACATAAACATTAATTCAAGAAAAAAAAAATTCAGTAATAAACAATAATGAATCTTTTGTACATAAGAGAAATGACTGTTTACACGATTATGCACGTCGTCTGCACGTTGGCGGGCCGTTCAAACCCGTCGAAATTCAAGTTTCCTCCGTCAAAAATTGTATTTATTTATTTTTTGTGTATTCCAATAAAATACGTTAAGAATTAAAAACTTGCGAAATTTGAGAAGCTACTATACGAAATTTAACCCTTCAATATGTCTTCAAAGAGACCATGATGCAGAGAAAGTGGTGCTCGTGCTTCCAAGCATAAGCACAAGTCACTATCTATCCAGGAAAAGGGTGAATTTCCATGGTCCGGCACCGGCCAGGTCCCGAGGTTGCCGTACTAGAGAGGTACAACCTGTATTTCAATGGGATATTGGGTAATTGGTTCCAGCTCACAGAAAAGTACATACAAAGTATAAACAAAATGTAGTAAAGTACACTTACTTTGAGGTGTGTATATAGAATGTTGCTGGTTGATGATGATGATGGGAATTAGAAGTGGGAGTGGAGGAGGAGAAGGGAGAAGAGAAGGAAGTGGGGATGGAGGAGAAATCGCCTTTCTTTGGACCCATGCTTGATGCAGTAATTTCACCAATAAAATTTTAAATTCACTAGATGTAATTACAGATCATTTTCTTTAAATCAACACTGCACTGCGCTATATATTATCAATACGTTAACTAAATTTCAGAATGAACAATAATTTTAATGTAAAAACGTAAACATACTCTGTATTCAAGAGAGCGACAAACACGATGTTTCCTCCACTGTAAACAAAGTTAACTGACACTTTGGCAGGCGAGTCAAGCGGCTGATGGGCGCACAAAACAAATAGTTCTCTGTACTGCATATATTATCAATATACTGTATTAACTAAATTTTACAATTAATAATAATTTTAATATAAAAAATGCAAAAATATTAAAGAGCACAACTTTCTTGATATTTACTCCACTGGAAACGAATGTAAACATAGAACCGATTACTGTATTGGCGGACTAGCCGATCAGCTGATGAGCACAACAAAACATGTTTGTCGTAAGGATTTTGTTAATCGAAGTTTTGTTCGTTAACCAAATTGAAGATCCTTATTGGAGCTAATTCGTTAACAGAAAGTTCGTTAACCGAGGGGCCACTGTATTTCACATAAATTCACTGCCTACTAAGATGGAATAACAATCATTCGTATTAAGATGGCTCATACTGTCACACACAAAAACAATTCTTCTACATGTATTCCATAATCATATTTTATGAGATAAATCTAGACCTCACAACCCAATGGTTCATTATGTACTAACAATGGACCTGTAAACACTGACCTTGAATAAACTCAAATGGCAGGACCCACCAGGGGTTCTTCATCCAGGAAATGTAAAGGAAACGGAGAACATTGCCCAACAACCCTATGCAAAGCACCTGAAGTGAAACACAAGAATATTAGCAACAAATTTTGGTTTGAGGCTATAATTCATATTTGCATTGTAATATGAGACACATTTTTTGAGAATCTTTACAGTTGCTTTCATTCAGTAATTATATTCTAGAACCAGTGAGTGAGACATATCACACAGAAAAGAGAGTAAAAGAAAGGCAAGGAAATAAGTAAGGGAATGTTATTCATAAATTTTTCCAATATTGTAAAGGTAAGGTCACTTTTACCTTAACATGTCCAATCTGTGCGATGAGTCGGAAGCTGAAGAAGTAAGCAAAGATCTCTGAAATGTGATTCATGATGCTAGCAATGCCAAACACTGTAGGGGTACCTCCATAATCCTGGTGGGAGAGGCCATCAACTAAGTTTTTAATAAGTTGTATCAGGTCATATACTGTACTAGTTTGTACAGTCAGCCAAAGATCCAGTGACCCACCCTGAGTCTCTTACTGGAAATTTTACCTGGCAATACTTGGTAGAGTAAGGCTGTATGTAAAGGTGATTGTGATTGGTGGATCTATTTTTGGCTCCATTACTGTCAGGATAAATATTAAACAATCCAAAGGTAGAATTTTTATAATAATAAACTATAAATTCTTATTTAAGATGATGAGAAGTTTCCAAAAGTATATTTGGTTAAATAATGTAGAAATTATAATAATGAACTGGCAACTCAACTACCACGAGGAACGAGGACTGCCACAAGATTTTAGATCAAATTTTCTTCATTATTTAACCAAATATAAGAACATTTAGAAACTGCTCATCATCTTAAATAAGAATTCATAGTTTATTATTATAAAAATTCTACCTTTGGATTATTTAATATTTATCCTGACAGTAATGGAGCCAAAAATAGATCCACCTATCACAATCACCTTTACATACAGCCTTACTCTACCAAGTATTGCCAGGTAAAAGTGCCAGTACGAGACACAGGGTGGGTCACTGGATCTTTGGCTGACTGTACAAACTACTCTTGTCTGGTACACTATTTGTACAATTTATCAAATCATAATGCTTTTATGAAACACTATATGCAGTAATAGCAAATACTTATAATTAGTTTTACCTGCAAATGCCAGAAGAGGAAAGCAAATATAAGACCAATGCCAAAGCCCATCCACCAGGCCACAAAGAGGAAGGCACCACACCGAAGATTCTTAAACTCCCTCAGAACTACAAACCATTCTGGCATCTCCTTCATAGTCTGAGCAAAGATCTTGGTCTGATAAGGAAAAATTTTTTTATTAATTGATGGATCCACTGCACTGATCAGGTGTGTATGTGTTATTTCAAGTAAAGCCGTGGGTGGTGTAAATTTTTTGTCTCAACTATGTGGTGGACGAAGGAAGGCAACATGTTCTCTGAAGAGCAACATAACTGACAAGAGTGATCTATATTCAGGCTTGGGTTCCTTAGTACCATATAGATATGTAGAATGAAGGATGACGATCTTTACTTTATCCTCTATGAAACTGGTCAGGTCATTAGCCAATCAGGCAGTTGATTATTGCTCTGTTACACACTGTTGGCAAGTACTGGGCATGAGTATAGGCTCTTGCCTGTACCTGAACATATGACAGTGTTGGTCAAGTCAAGTCTTAAAGAAGGTCACTGTTGGTGCTGTCACAACATTCACTGACTATAAGAGGTTGATAATGTCCCCAAGATTTAGAGAGTTGCAAGTTATTTGAGGACAGAAAGACTTAGAGAACAAAGAGTTCCTAAGACAAGAATTGCAAGGAATGAAGGTGTTCAATGATGATAAAGGGTGACTAAATTGACCTTGCATGGACTATTGGTGGCTTGATAAAAAATGACAAAGCATTGTGACTGGGATTGAAAGGAGGCTTTTGCTACTTTAAAAACACAAGATTCATTTTAAAATCACATTTTATGGCAAGTCTGCAAATTCAAGTACAGTATAGTTCAGTACAGCCAGACATTTGAAAATCCATGGTTCCCACAACCCAATACAGTACTGTTGACTAGAACTATTTTGAAAATTAGATTACTGATACTTACCTTTCACATCCCTATTTCTTAATTAAAGAGAAGTAGAGGTTACCACTTGGCTGCAGGCCGAAAATCTTCACAGTTACGCTAATACAGTATATGTACTAAGTGAAACTCTTATGACTCTGCTAGAAAGTGTCATTTTGCAGGTTGACCCTCAGCTCCAGCTCACTTCCGGAGCATCCACAGTAGAAGGGGAGGAAATCTGAGTCAACTCATCCTGGTTGAACTATGAAATGGGATTTTTGGATGAGTCCATCATTTATAGATGATGCCTGACTGAGCGACCTGAACTCAAGCATCCCAAAGCTATCAGTAGTTAGAAACAAGAGGAAGGCAGCCCAAAAGCTCCCTAGTCTTAGAGCAACTTATACCCGATGGGAAGAAATTCAGCCAAGAAAAAAGCAGAATAAAAGGAGTAAACCATATACTGTACTCCACATGGTCATGCAGACCAGGTATTGGGAAACATAGGTAGCACATACCCAGGCCACTCTCTGGATGATGAACTCAAGACACACACTCATCAGAAAGGATAAGAAAGACACAATGCCCGAGGCCATGTGACCACAGAATGCAATCGGGCTGAATTAACTCAATATTCCTTACCCTGAAATCCAGGAAGCTCCATGCTCATCTCCAACACCTGTACTGTACATGGAACCTGTAAAAATAAGGACAAGGGGATGAGATCACTTCTCTCCCAATTCTCCAACATTTAGTCAGAGAAATCCAGTGAACACTACAGTACCGTATATAAACAATGTTGAATCACGATGGGGGACCAACCCTAGAACATCCTCCAATGGTGCAGACTTGGAACAGCCAAGATTATCTCATAGGTGCTTAATTAAGCAGAAATACTAACAGTTTATTAAATGGAGGTTCAAAGGAACTGTTAACCATCTCCTTCACTCTCAGAAAGAAAGTAAATTCCATCAATATACTGTAAGTGACATTTGGTCAAATATGACACAGCTATAAATGTACAAAGAAGTACAGTATAACTAAGTGCACAGGATAGGAGCCCGAAATTCAAGCTACAAGAGACTGATAGAATCTCAAAACCACTTACAGTACCAGGAAAACAATCAACTCATATGTTTACAGAACATAAGCACACATCTCCTCACAGTATGTCTGAGAACATACATCTCTCCATAGAGTCATGTACAGTACAAGTGTCCCCTATTGAGGATCCAAAGTTGATATCCACATCAACTAGGAAACTCTCAAGACGTTTGGATAGCATCTTCATATAGAGAGGAGATGGAGCTCCCTACTTCTTTGCCCATGTGTCCTGTCCTAGTATTGGCAAAAGAAGTAAAAATAAGGAAGTAAGACTTTCCACTGTCTCACTCACAAAGGCCGGGCTCCTTTACACAAGTGCAGGGCCTTAGGCCACCCAAGATACGATAAAGCCTGGTGGACATAAAATTTGCCTCTTATCCATTCTGAATGTGATTCAAGGTTGTTCATGGATCAAAGACCTGGCAGATAACAGTTCAGACCAAACCAATGAGTCATGTAACTATGAAACATGCCAGCCACTTAACCTTAAAGAAAGTTCTTACAAGTCTGTATTCGAATGAGGAGGTATAACTGTCCTCAAGACTTTCATAATCCTTTCAAAACTATGATCAAAATTAATAGCAATATGATACAAAAGGTTTCTGAAATACAAAAGACCATTTCTAACTACAGAATCCAAAAGTATATGAGCATAAATTCTTATTTCTTTTATCGTCTTCACCACTGGCTAAACATGAGGCAATCTTTCATAATGCCGGAACCCTTGTCCCCAAGCCCTGAGCAGAAAGGTTTGGAGAGATTTTCTCGACATTTTCTCAGACTTTCCAGTAATTGAGCATTATTTCATAATCTATATTTGCTCCCAGACCCAGAAATAAAAATTTGGACATATATTCCTTCTTTTTTTCTTCTTTTTTCAGAAAATGGTCCTGATTTTCAATCTCGGAATTTATTCCCAAACCCGGAATTTAGTGAATTTTCTGAAAAAATTTCTGGGTAAATTTAAATTCTGGCTATTGGAGAGTTCCGGGCTTGCGGGATTTCTGCTAACGGAGATATTACTGTACTTCAACCCTTGCCCACTTTGAACAACTAATATTGTTGGTAATTTTATCTGTTAAAATAGTAAAAAATTATAAATTTCCAATGCAAACATTATAGAAGAAATTATTTTCAGTTTTTTCTCTGTCTCCCTAAATGAAAGACTCAATATTAGGTGTTGGCAATTTCTAAATATTAACCCAATACTGTACTAATGAGAGGTAAAGACAGTACCTAATCAACTCTACCTATGATTTTGTTGAGAAAGATCCTCAGGGCTACTCTTATTTAAGAAATCCACTGAACACCCAGAGTGCAGGTATTAACCTTGAATAAGAAAAAAAGGAATAACTCGCCCACCCATAATGAAACAACCTGACTAATGTACAGTACTCAGTTGGAGGTAAAGGAGGAAAGGCTAGAGATGACCATGATGTGCGCAGTACAATTATGCCCAAAAGACAAGTTTTGGAGGGGAGGTAAATAAGCTTGGCCACATTGACACAAGTGGTAGAAGGAATATGTACTGCCCACAATAACATGAAGGTTGAAGGGGGATATGATCTGACTACTAACACAAGAGCTGGAGGTAACTAACCTTGATTGTGCCAATGGCTTCATCAATTTTTTGTCGTTGGGATTTCTGCTCTTGCAATGGAATTTTGGGCTCATTCCAGGGACGTGGCCCATTATCCACAGGTTCTTTTACTTCTGGAGTAGTGCTTGTAATCGGTTCCGAGTAGTCGAACTGTTAATATATATATATATATATATATATATATATATATATATATATATATATATATATATATATATATATATATATATATATATATATATATATATATATATATATATATATATATACATACATATACACTGTATATATTATAAAATTATTGTGATTAGAAAAGAAATTCTATGTAACTTTATGGGGGAATGGCTACCCATCTGGTGCCCCCTTTGCCACTGGATAATAACAAGCTTTTTGAGAACTTCTAGAATATAATAAAATCCTGAAATAAAACATATTTTCAGAAAAGTACAGCACAGGTACAGCATGCCCTTAAAATTCGCGGGGGTTAGGTTCCCAAAATAGCCATGAATAGCCAAATCCGCAAATAACATTTGCTGGCCCCCAGGGGGGGGGGGGGTTACATTTCTACTTGTGTGCAAAGAAATGTATATTCCCTTTATGTGTTTGCCCTTAGGACAATTATTTATTTTACCTGTATTGTATATTATGTGTGTGCATGTGTCTACACAAACACACACACACATATATATTTACAATACAGGTAAAAGAAATTCTGTCTCTAAAATGAATGGCTCCCTGTCCCAGACACAAAAATGCCAGCAACTTTAAAATTACTCTTTAGACATTCCTGGGTACAACCAGGGTGTCATCCGCAAATAATAGAGGACTGTGAATTATTAGGGCATGCTGTACACGTACTAATAAAACTGAGAACCTTTATTAATTATCTTTGAACACATGAAATTTGAGTACAGTATATAAATACATTATTATTATGCATGACTTTACCCATATTGTAAGCTCTGTGCGTGTCACATGTACAACCATCCTCACATTCCTTGGTTGCTGATCATCTCAACTATTGAATTGCATTTCAATCAACAGCACTAAAAAAAAAAAAAAATTGCATATTAATTTGTCCATTACAAGAGAAGCAGATGCAACTTGTTTAGCCTATGGAATTAACGTCTGTTTAACAGATGATGGGGGAGAAGTTGGACCTGATAAACCAAAGTATTAGCATGGGTAAAGATTAAGGTCTAATACGGTAATTCTTAAACTTCATGAACTACATTTCAGTTGCTACAAAAGATAAAAGAACAGATAAAGAATACAGGACCAGAATACCTTGAACTGTGAAGCTGTAATGAGAGCACAGCCCATGAGAACACTGAAGACTGCAAAGCAAATGGTGTAATTTCTCTCCTTCTCATGTGGGCGACAGGGGTGTCCTGGGAAGGCTGTAGAATGATCCAGTGCGATGCCCACAAAAAACATGGACAGACCCCAACCCAAGGAGCCAAACATTCGCTGCCGACCGTAGTGATCTGCCTCATCAGCCAGGTAAGTCAACACCTATAAGAGATGTACAGTATTTTGATATTACATTACCACACTCACTAACAACAAGCAGACAATATACTTTACATAAAATGCTTATGATCAATTAGCAGCAAAATTTCTAAAACCTTCCAAGATTCAAACACTGGGTCTCCATTACATGCATTTGATCACGTAATAGAAATTCTTACTATCATCTGTCAGGAAGTACCCATTTGTATTGGTTTCATCACAGGCTCACTGCCCCCCACCCATCCTCACCGCAGAGTCAGCCAGGGTGATGGCTGGGCAGCTGAAGAACTCCCCAAGGATAACCACCAACAGCAGCAGGAAGAACACCTTCTGTACATCTAATGACCGATACACAATGCTGGAGAAGGGTGGGGACAGCCAGTCTTCTTCTGCACCCTTGAAGTCCTTAAAGTTGACCTACAAGGAACAAGTTTAAGGTTAAGGACAGTTAAAAATAAAACCTATAAAACTTGATTGTATTCAAACAAGGTGCCAACTCACATCAGTCTGTATCTTTTATTTTACTTTTATCCTCTTCACCACTGATTGGCTCGTCACCTCTTGAGTGGTCGGTCACGTCTCTGTTATGCACTGTTGGCAAGTACTGGGCATGTACTGGCTTCTGAATGTATCTAAACCTGCTCCAGTGTTGGTCAAGTCTGGACCAGGAACAGCTCACATTCGGTGCCATCACAACACTCTCTGGCAGATTGTTCCAAGAGTTCACTACTGTCACTCCGAAAAGTTAACCCCTCACAGTTTTCTGGACTTGTGGCCTCTTCAACCTTGAGCTGTGACCCCTTGTGGGGCAGGCGGTCTGCCAGCTCCAGATATTGACACTCGACTGAGTAGTGCCCTTTGAGATGATTATACACCTCAATTAGGTCACCCCTTGCTCGTCCGTAGTATAAGCTAGGCAGTTGCAAACGCTCTAATCTCTCAGGGTAGCTGAGGTGCAGTAGTGCAGGCACCAGTCTGGTGGCCCTCCTTTGGACACTTTCAATCACCTGACAGTCCCTAGCATATCTCGGGGACCCCACTCCTGAAGATCATTACAAAGGACACACCGTCTAGATATCTGAACGAACTTCTTGTAAAACCTAGCTTAGTTGCTCGATTCACCTTCTCAAAATGGCCAAAGAACTTCATTTCATTGTCAACATGCACACCCAGGTCCTTTTTGCATTTGGTCTCTATTAATGCAGTTTCTTCATCATGTTGGAACATATGGTATACCTCATTAATGTTGGTACGAACCAGGTGCATCCTCTTACAAATTAATACTTTGACTGTTGACCTTTTAACCCAAACACATCATAATCATGGAGTTGTCATGGTGAATATATTTGTTAGGTGTGAGGATTGTAGTAACTCTGACTGTTCTCAAGGATTGTAGTAACTCTGACTGTTCTCAAGGATTGTAGTAACTCTGACTGTTCTCAAGGATTGTAGTAACTATTCTCAAATGATGCGGCACACATTTTCTTGAAGGAGTAAATACATTATGTAGTTTATATTATTACTATCGCCACCTAACCATTATCAACTCCTCACCTTCATCAGCACAGTACACCTCACCATCACCTTATCATTACAAACAACTAAACAAAATACTTAGTATTAAAATAAATAAATGAAAATAAATACGTATACTGCAGAGGTCAAACTAAATGTTATTAGGCCAAACACCTTAAAAAGAGCTATAATTTAGGTTTTAGGACTAAGAAAGCCCAAACATATATTCAGATTTGTAAAAAGTACCAACTTTGTTACTTAAGTAAAAGTATTGTTACATTGACAAAATGTTACTCGAGTAGAAGTAAAAGTATCCAAAGTTCAATGTACTCAAGTACAGCAATATCTCCGTTAGCCGGAATCCCTCAAACCCGGAAATCTCCGATAGCTGAAATTGAAATTAGCTCGGAATATCATTCCCAAAGCTGGTATTTAAAAAAATTCAGGATATGTGAACAAATTTTCCGAGGTTGAAAATCAAGAGAATTTTCTGAAAATGTCTTGAATAAAGATGAAAGTTTTTTTTGTTCAATCCAGAATGCAACTGGAAGGGCGTCGTTCATCATGAGTTTGTTCCACGTGGTCAGACAGTCAATAAAGAGTTTTACTTGGAGGTCCTGAAGCGTTTGAGGGAGGCAGTGCGAAGGAAGAGGCCTGAGGAGTGGACAAACAAGACCTGGATGCTGCACCATGATAATGCACTTGCTCACGCATCGCTCCTTATCCGTGACTTTTTGGTGAAACATGAGACGACTATCGTCCCCCAGCCGCCCTACTCTCCGGATTTGGCCCCTGCGAACTTTTTTTTGTTCCCAAAGTTAAAATCCACCCTGAAAGATCGCCGTTTTCAGACGATAGACGAAAATTCGCTACAAGACCTGCGCACCATCCCTCAAAACGCATTCCAGAACTGGAAAAAATGTTGGGAGCGGTGTATCAACAGTGGAGGGGAGTACTTTGAAGGAGATAAGTCTGATTAAGTTGTAAGTAAAGCAATAAATTTGTTTTTTAAAAAGTTTTTCTTCTTTTTGGACAGACATCATATGAAAGCAAAACTTATTCACTGTTCATATACATTTTAAATAATATTTACGAAGGTAAAACAAAAATTCTTCTCACCAATGGTGGTAAAGTCTAAAACATAAGGATAGCCAATGAATATTTTGGGAGTTTTTACTCAGATGACGAAGTCATCAGATTCAACTCTGGCTGAAGCTGAAGCTTTCCATAAAGCTGTTGCTGAAACCGTTACTGAACCTGAAGTTGTTGTTGAAGCTGCTTATGATGCTGAATTTGATGGTGTAGCTGAAGTTGATGGTTTAAGCCTTCAAATAATAAGGCTGTCGAAAGAACCTTGCACAGCTGCTTTCTTTTCTCATTATACATCTTTATGTAGAGGTCATTTGCATTTATTTAAATTTTAATGCTTTGTTCTGTTAATGGATCCACTTCAGAAAATAGTGTTCATTGTTGGCTTCATATAATATTCACCTCTCACCTTTTTCATATCGTTTTAACATACTGTATTTAGTTTCTCGGCTAAGCTTATACACTTTCTATTAGCTTTTAAAGAAGCAGCACTACAATCACTTGCTCATGTTGAATAGCGATGCAAAAATGCTGTAAGAAACCTGAGAAAGTTTATTCCTTTTCCTGTTCAGAAGTGTGAAAACAAAGGGCCCGTCAGCTGTGACTGTTTATATGTACTAGTGATACAGGTATCACCACTAACAAGCCCGGCAGCCTACATGTGCAATGCGTGTTTTTTTTTATAATGTCGGGATTTAGTTATTATTTATACGAAAATGTAATATATTTTTTTTAAATTTTGTCTTAAATACGAAGACAATAATGGCGTAAATTGAATTGGGTCTTAAATTAACCAGGGTCTTAGAAATTAATCTTCGTTAGTTGAATCGTTGTTATCGGAGGCTTTACTGTACTCAGTCGAGTGTCCATATCTGGAGCTAGCGTATGCCCGCCCCTACAAGGGGTCACAGGAGGAGGTTTTAGAAGCCACAAGTCCAGAAAACTGTGAGGGCAAATTTTTTCGAAGTGAGAGTTGTGAACTCTTGAAACAATCTGCCAGTGTGTGTTGTGACGGCACCAAGTGTGAGCTGTTTCAAGGCCAGACTTGACCAACACTGGAGCAGGTTCAGGTACATTCAGGAGCCAGTGCTTGCCAGCAGTGTGTAACAAGAGACGTAACCAACTGCTCGAGCTGCTTTCGAGCCGATCAGTGGCAAAGAGGATAAAGGTAAAAGTAATAAAACCCTGATAATGTGAGAGTCTGTAGGCTAAATGACCTTTGGCATAGACTTGAATTTGATAAACAACACTGTCTAGATGATAACACATCCTTGTAATGACTTCTTGTTTTCTCATCAAACAATAACACTGAGACAATATGCATATCTCTGCATAATGTATAGATCACCTTCAAAGTTTAAACTTAATCCAGTTGACACTATAACACTTAATATTTTAATTATTTCTTTTCAGGACGAACAGATATACAATACAAGGGTACCCCTATATGCCCTCTTTAGTGTGGATAGTATAAAATCTTCATATCAAAAAGGTTCAGTTAAAGTAAAATTTGCCCATAAAAGATTAACTTACGGTATAATGAACAACATTGGGTGATTTGCCGATGACATGGTCAGGGGGTAAGGGTGTGTCCCTCTTCCTCCTCCAGTGAGGGCTGTTGTTGGTCAAGCTGCTTGGCCAGTCTTCCATCTGGCTGAAGAATGCATCATCCAGCTCCTCTGGGGACACCTGCTTCAGGGATCTCTTGTGGTACTGGTGATGGAATTCTGGGTTGTCAATGGTTATAACCTGGACATCAAAGTCCTCCACATTATCATCAGCATCATAGTAGTCACTCTGGTCCACGCTCCTCTTGTTGACAATCTGGAGTACAAAGAAATCAGATCCTGAAATTCCTGAATAGCTATGTCATATAGTGGACAGTTTGCACTCAGGTAACAGTAGAGGAACAGGAACACACTCAAGGAACAGGAGCTCACTCAAGTAACACTAAAAAAAAACAGGAGCACACTCAAAGTAACTAAAGGAACAAGCACACTTAAATAACACCAGAGGAACAATAGCCCACTCAAGTAACAGTAGAGAAACAGAACCACATTTAAGTAACACTAGAGGAACAAAAACCCACTTAAGTAACAGTAGAGGAACAGAACCACATTTAAGTATCACTAGAGGAACAAAAACACTACAGTAACAGTAGAGGAACAGGAACAGACTTGAGTAACACTCGAGGAAGAGGAGCAGTGGCTGGAACTCACCGTGGTGTAGGGGGTCTTGAGTATATGGTGAGTATTGTTGAACTCCACACAGGCAGTGGCCGGAGGTTGGATGAAGCCGATGGCCAGGGTGAAGAGGATCCATGACCCTACTGAGCACAGCAACATCATCTTGCCCTTCTTAAACCTGCCATGTAAACACATGAGGCATTGGCTTACATGAAGATTAGCTCCCCTTCCCAGCTTAACTATTACACCTTCAGATTAACCACCCTAAAGCTAACCTAATGTAACCTAACATAAACTGAACTAATACAGTACAGTATAATCTAACTTAACCAAATACTGTATAACATAATAATTTAATTAAATGTAGCACAATATTAAAATCATACAATCTTCTTGGCACAGTCCCCCCCAAATTTATTTTTTTACAATAAACTACTGTACCAATAATTGAGCCTTATAATGATAAATGTATCAACCACACTTGGTACCGTATATGTAAAACTGTCACGCACGCGCGCACGCACACACACACACACACCTAGTCGACCACAATATAATCATAAACAAAGCTATTGACCTCGGGCTTCGGAGAAGTCTCATACCATGGCTTACAGACTTCCTCAGTGACCGACGCCAAGCTGTACGCTTCCGAGGGGCTGTCTCCACCTTTCAGTCACTCACCTGTGGCGTCCCCCAAGGCACCAAGATGGGACCACTCTGCTTCCTTATGCTCATCAATGATGCCCTAAGAGAAACCCCTGCTCGCTGGAAATATGTCGACGACTCCACCATTGGGATCAGCGTCAACAATTCTGCTCCCAACTATACCGCCCTTCAGGATTTATTGAACAGTCTCCAAAACTGGGCCACCAACAACCATGTCACCATCAACCATACCAAGACCATGGTTATGCACATCAACCTCTCCTCCGACATTGTCCCACCTCCTTCCATTACCCTAGGTCCGAACACACTCCAGGTTGTAGATTCCACGAAGCTCCTCGGCGTCACCATAGACAACAAACTAAATTGGAAACCACACGTCAGTGAAGTTGTCAAAGCCTCCAGTTTCCGTCTCCACCTGCTCCGCCGACTCAAGTCCCTCGGAGTTCCTGCACACGAGCTCCTCAGTGTATACACAACATTCATACTTCCCAAGCTCACCTATGCCTCCCCCACCTGGTCTTCCTCCCTAAATGCCACACAACGTAAACACCTAGAAAAAGTGCAGAAGAGGGCATGCAAGATTATTCTCTCCCCTTCCTACTCCACATATCAAGAAGCGCTCAACACACTGACCCTTTCGCTCTCACTGACCATCACCACGACCTCATCTACAAATTTGAAGTACACCATCCCCGACACCGGCTCCTACTACCACCTGACATCCCCTGTCCGAGAATTGCTGTTCGACACCACAACCGCATCCAGCCCATACGTGCACGAACTGATCGCTATAAGAACAGCCCAGTCCCAACCATTGTAAAAATTATCAATAACATGTAATAAATCAGTGTATTCACTCCCGGTAAACACTGCTCCTTACACTGTCACTATGTTGAAATGAACTGTAGTTTGAGCTGATCCCCATCTAAGTTATTATATGTCTTATTTGTGTCACTTATGTTACTTGTATATTATTTGTAATTCGTAACCCATTCCCCAAATATGTAACTGTAAATTTTCAGCCTTCTGGCTGCCAAGCTCTTTCAATAAACCGTTAATTATTAACACACACACACACACACACACACACACACACACACACACACACACACACACACACACACTTTATTATGAATGTTTCCTCATTTTATTAGCCTGCAAAATGGATGTACAATACCACTGAACTATTTTATCTTCTACTTTATTCTTAAGACTAATAATGAAATACATAAATGAAAATAATCATTTTGTTTCGAATTTCCTCCATAACATCTTCCAGACTCACTTGAAAATCTTAACTGAAAGTGCTAGTAAGTATTTAATAAAATTACAAGAGTCCCGGCCCAGACAGCGTGCATCCTAGAGTGCTAAGTGTGTTGTGCAACGAGCTTGCCGAGCCCCTGAAGATCCTGTTCTGTAAATGCTTGGATGAACAAAAGTTCCCAGTGATTGGAAAATGGCTTATGTGAGTCCTATATTCAAGAAGGGCGATCGTCCTTATTGCTCTAGGATGCAGTATCAGGCTGGGATGCAGTATCAGGCAAGGATGCAGTATCAGCCCTGGGATACAGTATCAGCCTGGGATGCAGTATCGAGCAAGGATGCAGTGTCAGCCTAGGACACGAAGCTATCGGCCTGGGATACAGTATCAGGCAGGATGCGGTGTCGGGCAAGGGATACGAGTATCGGCCTGGGATGCAAGTATCAGGCTAGAATACGATGTCAGGCTGGGATGCAGTATATCGGCCTGGGATGCAGTATCGTATACAGGACACAGTATCAGGCAAAGGATACAGTATCGGCCTGGGATGGTATGTTACAGACACGTGCTCGAACTGGGATGCAGTGTCGGGCTGGGATGCAGTGTCGTACAGGATGCAGTATCAGGGCAAGGATACAGTATCGTACAGGATGCGAGGTATCGGCCTAGAGGATGCAGTATCTGGCCTGGGATACACAGGAGGTATCAGGCTAGAATGCGGTGTCGGGCTGGGATGCGGTATCAGCTGGGATGCAGTATCGAGCGGCTATACAGTATCGGCCTAGGATGCAGTATCATCCTGGGATACAGTATCAGGCTGGGATGCAGTATGAGGAGCTTTAGAATGCGAAATCAAGGCTAGGATGCAGTGTCAGCCTGGGATACGGTATCAGGCTGGGATACCAGTATCGGGCTGGGAATACAGTGTCGGGCTAGGATGCAGTGTCGGGCTGGGATGCAGTATCAGGCTAGGATGCAGTATCGGCCTGGGGATGCAGTATCCAGCCTGGGATGCAGTATCAGGCTGGGATATAGAGTATCAGAGCGGATATCAGCCTGAGATGCGAAATATCGTCTAGGATGCAGTATCAGGCGCAGGATGCAGTATCGGGCTAGGATACAGTATCAGGCTAGGATACGAGTGTCAGCCTGGGATGCAGTATCAGGCTAGGATGAAAATATCAGGCTGGGAATACAGTATCAGGCGAGGATACAATGTCAGCCTGAGATACAGTATCAGGCTGAGAATACAATGCTCGGAGGCTAGGATACGAGTATCAGCCTGGAATGCAGTATCAGGCTGGGATATGCAATGTATCATCTGGGATGCAGTATCGAGGCTGGGATGCAGTATCGAGGCTGGGATACCGTACTGAGGCAGGATGCCCGGTGGCAGGCGGATGCAGTCTCAATTTGGGATAAAATTATCGAGGGCAGGGATGGGGGTATCCAGCCTGGGATGCAATGCTCATCTAGGATACAGGAAGTATCAGGCTAGGATGCAGTATCAGGGAGGATGCAGTATCAGCCTGGGTTGCATTATCAGCCTGGGATGCAGTATCGGCTTGGGATACAGTGTCGGCCTAGGACCAGTATCAGCCCTGGGATGCAGTGTCGGGCAAGGATGCAGTATCAGCCTGGGATGCAGTATCAGCCTGGAATGCAGTATCAGCCCTGGGATGCAGTATCAGCCCTAGGATGATATCCAGCCTGGGATGCAGTATCAGGCAGGATACAGTATCGGCCCTAGGATGCAGTATCCTTCAGGATACGGTATCAGCCTGGGATACAGCCACTCAGGCTAGGATGCGGTGTCGGGCTGGGATGCAGTATCGGCCTGGGATGCAGTATCGTCACGATGCAGTATCAGGCTGGGATACGGTATCAGGCTGGGATGCGATATCGGGCTGGGGATGCAGTGTCGGCCTGGGATGCAGTGTCAGGCTGGGATACAGTGTATCAGGCTGGGATGCAGTGTCAGGCTGGGTTCTGGTCATCAGACTGGGATTTAGTCCTCTCCTGGGATGGTATCAGGCTGGGATGCAGTGTCAGCCTAGGATGCAGTATCGGCCCTGGGATGCAGTATCGGGCTGGGATGCAGTGTCGGGCTGGGATACGGTATGGCCCTAGGATGCAGTGTGTCGTTCTGGGATGCAGTGTCGGGCTGGGATTCGGTGTCGGGTTGGGATGCAGTATCGGCCTGGGATACGGTATCAGGCAAGGAATGCAGTGTCAGCCTGGATGGTGCTCAGCCTGGGATGCAGTAATCGAGGCGGGGATCTGGCTGTCAGGCAGGATACAGTATTGGCCTGGGATGCAGTATCGGGCTAGGATGCAGTGTCCCAGGCTGGGACACAGTATCAGCCTGGGATGCAGTGTCAGCCTGGGATGCAGTATCCAGGCTGGGATGCAGTTTCAGGCCCAGGACACATTATCAGCTGGGATGCAGTGTCAGCCCTGGGATACAGTATCAGGCTGGGATACAGCGAGTATCAGGCTGGGATACAGGCTCAGGCTGCAGTTTTGGTGTCGTACAGGATGCTGCAGTATCAGGCTGGGATACAGTATCAGGCTGGGGATACAGTGTCGAGCTGGGATGCAGTGTCAGCCTGGATACTGTGGTGTCATCTGGGATACCGAAGTATCAGGGCTGGGGTGCAGTGTCAGGCAGGGATGCAGTATCGGAGGCTGGGATGCAGTGTCGGCCCTGGGATGGGAGTATCAGCCCTGGATCTGATATCAGGCTGGGATGCAGTGTCAGGCTAGGATGCAGTATCAGCCCCTGGGATACAGTGTCATTCTAGGATACAGTATCAGGCTGGGATTCGGTGTCAGGCTAGGATGCAGTATCAGCCTGGGATTTAGTATCAGGCAAGGATACAGTATCAGCCTGGGATGCAGTATCAGCCTGGGATGCAGTATCAGGCGGGGATACGGTATCAGGCAGATGCAAAATCATCAGCCCTGGGATGCAGTGTCGAGGCTGGGATGCAGTGTCCGGGCTAGGACACGGTATCCGCCTAGGATGCAGTATCAGCCCTGGGATACACAGTATCAGGCAAGGATACAGTTTCAGGCTGGGACATTATCGGCCTGGGATGCAGTATCGGCCTAGGATATGAGTATCAGGCTGGGATGCAGTTTCAGCCTGGGATACAGTTCGGCCCTGGGATGCAGTATCCAGCCTAGGATGCAATATCAGGCTGAGACTGCAGTGTCGGCCTAGGATGCAGTATCCAGGCTAGGATGATGTCAGGCTAGAGATGCAGTGTCATACAGGATGCAGTGTCAGCCTAGGATGCAGTTTCAGCCCTGGGATACGGTA